ATCAAAACTTTAAAGTGTATCATTTCTAAGTATGTGAACTCAGTTGCCACTGACTGGATCTGCCATATATAATGTGGCATATTGCACAACAGAGCACCACCCCATTGACTGTTCACCAAACATGTTAATGTTCATGTAGGGTATTTTCTTATGAAATGTCACTGAGCAACTATTTTGCTCAAGGATCACAAATTGTAAATACTTGTGCATGCTAAATTAACCAAAGTTATTATCAATTAGGGCAAGCAAAGTAAAAGCATTTTAGTCTTGATCACTTCAAGATAAACATATACAGCATCCAGCCATCAATCAGTTAATTAATTATGATATTAAATTTAAACTTGCTGTTTTGGGGGAAAAATTGAAAATAGTATGATAAAGCCAAATATATATAGCAGTCTAACTGAAAATATGTCAATATAATTGAAAGAAAGTAGTTAAAGCATAAATAGTAATAGACATAACTTCCTATATATACATAATTAAAGGTGGGAACTTTCTCAAAACAACTTGTTTGCAAAATCATGGTTCTTGTATATTATTGATGTAGGCCCCTGAAATCTTCTGTCCTTTTTCCTCTTAAAGTCACCACACTGGATAGGTAGTGGTTATGTAATTTAAAGCAACACTTTTTTTTTTTCAATGTTTCATTGGACATTCCCTGTCTGTGTGATAATTTCAACTGATTTTAGTGTGAGATGGCATTCTTTGTTGACATACTTTGCAGTAAAGTAATGAAGGCAACTAACAGGACTTGACAAATGTATCCATGCGTAATAGCAAGAAGCTGGTATAGATGACATGAATAACATGTTCCTCTATGTGCAGCTTTTCTGAGACAGAGAACAGATGAAATGGCATTCTACTATTCACAAACCTCTTCAGCATACTATGAAAGGGCTTCTGGAACTGCAGAAGTAATTAAAGTGCCTGAAATGAATTCATCACATGATTGGGCTTCAAAGACAACAAATATACCTTTCATTGCTGCTATGCTGAAAAAAGAACTGAAAAATAATAGGTGTGGCCCTTAGAGTCCAAACGTTTCATAGGGGAGGTCATCAATAGAGTATTATCATCCATAGGTGTGTAAAAAGAATGTGTACTTGTAATTTTGTAATTGGCATGGGCATGTGACAGTATTAGATATGAGCTTAAGCACCCATATGGGTCACAAGTTTATTGTATAAAAAATGTCCTGTGACAGTTCAGATATGAAGTTATTCTACCATCAGATAACATTATGTTTTCATTATCTATGAAATTACTGAAATGTCCACAAAAATATGTGGAGTTATTATGGTCACATTAGTCAATGTGCACAAGTTCCTGCTTCAATAGATGGGGAAAGTGGCAAAGATAAATAAGAGAACACATGACAAAACAGTAAAATAACATTAGTTTGAAAGAAGAGGTATGTCTCTGATATATTTCAGTTGTAAGTAAACTATTCAGGTCCAACTAGAAGCTGTACTGATGAATTTCTGTACCACTGGCTTGACTGAAAAGCAAAATTAATAGTTGAAGCTGCAGAATACTCACCGTTGAATACTCCTCTGATCAGGTTGAAGAAAATAAAAAGGAGAGTCACAGTGAACCTTCCTTTGCCGTTTCTGTTAATCTGAAGCGAAAAATGTCACTTTGCATAATTACTATGCACTCCCCAGTTACTTTGACTGGGTGTGAAAAAACTTTCAACAATTAGTATGGTTGTGTGATCTGAAGCTTGAGCTGCCATGAGATCAGCTACTAAAAGATAGTTGTGACCCTTACTTTCTGAGCTATTGGATGAACTGTCAAGGTGAAATATTTGCCAAATATTTTGCAAAATCCACTCAATTTGGATTGGTAGAAACATTTTATTATGATGACTAATGGACATAAAACATTCATGACCAATAAGCTGTCTATAATAGTCAGAATACCTAAAACACAATTAACACATTTAAAAATATTATGTTCATAAACTTGCATATCTTCAACATGTATATAGTACATTACTATGGAAAACTTCTTGTTCTAATTTTATATGATGAATGCCTCTGATTTTGTTCTGAGGGAAGTAAAATGCAAACATGCATATATTAAATAGATTATACATATGCAGCAATGATAAAATGTGCAGGCTATTGAAGGATAGGTCTGCATATTTCATGGTAATCATTCACATATAGTGAACATTACATGTCAGGTTAACAAAAGATGAGTCTTTATATGGGAAATCCTTCATATGTAGGTGCAGTGAAGAAACTGTTGGAAAACTTTGCTGAACAGTTTTTGAGTCTTGCATGAACATTTTATGATTTACACTTGAAGGAAGTAGAGAAACCTTTTGGTGTGTTAAATTGATTACTTTTATTTTGTGTTAAAAATGATGAATGTGTATACCCTTGGGTGGTGACTTAGTTTGGGCAAAAGTTGGATTAAATTGAAATATAACAATGAAATTACACACCATTGCAACTTTTCTTTAACTTTATTCAAAAACCTACTAACCAAAATGTATGTTGTGTGCATAAACACATGTACGTACGTATAAATGGTGAAGATTCATATAATCTTATTACTAAACATGTATGTGTAAATGCACCTATATCTGAGTGAATGAAAGCATGGAATTAGAAAAAGAAAATATTGTTTTTGAATGTGAAGTAAAATGTTTTGTTATTCATAGATCTGTTTCACCTATACAGTACAAATCCATTTCAGAAAGCCAACTTTGGCTGTTGCAGTCCAAATATTGGCAAGGTTACAATGTAGTAGTTTATTTTGTGAAAAAATGAAAGTTCAGAGATATTTTCAAATAAACAGAAACAGATATTCTCTAATATTTCTGTATGACAAAAGGTGCAGAATATAATTTAGATTAGTGCTTTGTCTTTCCCTTGTTACAATGAGATGTAAAAGGAATAAAATCAGATCAAATGCTAATCACTGCCATGCTCTCCAGAGCCAAGAGAGGCATCAGCAGCTATTCAAGACACTGGCAAATGAATCAATATTATGGGTGATGCTGTATTCTAATTTCAGTTTATTTGGTAAGGATTCTGCTTCAGTTGGAATTACTATTACTTACAGTGTACAACTGTGATTTTAATTTGTTTTTAATTTTCTTGTGATATATGGTTGAGTTCTGTTCTTATGATACATAGGAATCAGGCACTTAGTCTGCAGGAATAACAGCACATTACCACCACATATAAGTGCCTATCTGTGTGTGTGGTAAGAGTTTATAGTGTGTTATAACTGTGGTATGCAAATACTACAACTTCTCTCATTGCATGTAATTTATATTTGCAAAAATGTCTAGTATTTCTAAGTTTTGACTTAGAACACAATTCCACTAGAGGTCATGATAAATTTAACCTTAGGTGTTACTTAGCAGGACTTAATCATGAAACTATCTACTGTTTCATGGGGTAGTTGTACTGTGTATAAGTTTACCTTTTTTGATACGGGACTATTCTATGACTGTCAAAGGGAGAAGAGATATTTGTGGATTCTTTTTATCCAATATTCTAATTGATCAGCTACAAACAGAAGGTAGATAGTGAAAGCAGTTTTGGCATTTCTTAGATATATTCATTTCTAATTTGAAAGGATCAAGAATAGCATGAGAAGTTTCATCCTCGTTCCTGTATCTTTTACCAACTTTCTGGTAATATGTGGTTAAATTTAATTTCATGGCACAGTTTCTTTTCACCTCTTTTTATTTAATTACAGTTTTTTTTTCATTTACTTTACTTTATTTCTTTATTTTACTTTAATTTACAATTTCATCAACATGGTAGTTCCATCTCGACAGCCAACATCTCCATACCTTCTTCTTCAGTTACCATTATAAATAAAGTGTTTATTATTCATCTGTCTTCTAACCATGTATTGTCACTTATATTCCATTCATAACAAATCATTACAACACATTTTTCAAAAAACTAGATCCTCAAATCTAGTCGTTGTAAAAATCAGGTAATCATGTGTTTGATACATCCTTGAATTACCACATTTTTATTATTATGAATAATATATTTACTATTAGATACAATATCTATAATTACAAATCAAAGGTAGGTACTCAGTTTAAAAACAGAAGTAAAAAAAAAGTTAAAACGTCAAAATATGAAGGACTTTCTCTTATAGATGAACTTCAATATTTAATTTGTTGAAATAGACAGTCATGTTGTGTATGATATTATAATGTACCCGAGAAGGTATTTTTAAATATGGTGTGTTATATATGATACAATGAAATACCCAAAAACATGTTCTTGCAGCAGTTGTGTTAGATACAGTACTATAAAATACCATCAAAAAGGTATTCTTACAGCAACTGTGTTAGATATAGCACTATAAAAATAACAAAAATGGTATTTTAAAGAGTAGTTATGTTAGGTACACAACTACAAAATGCCGTCCAAAAAAAGTAGTCATACAGGAGTTGGGTTATATAAGGTATTATAAAAGAGTCTTGAAGATATTCTTACAGAGATATTTTCAGATGTTGTACTACAAAAAATTTAAGGTGTCTTTACAGATTTATAGTTTTAGGTAAAAATGTGTCAGAAAAAAAAATTACATACCATATGGAATGTAAGGTTGAGTAAAACATACATTATATATCAATGTTTCTGTATGTATATTATATTTTTTGCTTTGAGTGATTTGCTTGAATCATGAGGATTTTATATTTCATTTTCCTAGCTGCTCTTGAGTTGTTGTATTATTTAAGCATTAACTTCCCATAATTTTTGATGCACAGTAAGTAACATGAACATATGCAGTGTTTTTATGTTAGAAGAGTATGTTAAAGCATGCATCTCCTCAAGCTGTGTTCATTATTAAAGGCAGCTATTTAGTACTTTATTTTATAACTTCTTTCTTTTTGCAGTGATTCTAGGATATGTAAAAGTCATTGAAGATGTTAGCATGTCCTCTATGATCATAATTAGTTTTGTACTCTTTGGTGCGAATTTTCAACCTGGTGAAATTTTTTCTTACAGGTAAAGACTATGGGCTTCCATCAAATAAACAAGATGATCCTGGTGCAGAGGAGCGAATTGCACAAATTTTGAATGAAGCACAAACTGCAATGCTTAATTCCAAGAACAAGAACAGGATGAGTCCACTTCATAATGGAAGCACAGAATATTCTCCACGGAATATTGGTGGTGTTGTGAGATCAGAGGAGGAAGGGAAAAGAGATGAAGGTGGTAACATTGAAGTAGAAGGTAGAGAAAATCAAACATTACACAGCAGTAGTAATAACTATAAAGATTATTTTAATTCTACCAGTTTACGGAGATCTAGAAAGTTTGATACTGATGACATACCACAAGAAATGGTAGCAAAGATCTATCAAGAAGAGTTGGCCAAACTCATGGGTCAGAGAGTGCAAGAATGTTTCCGTTTACCTAATGACCAGTATGAACGCACACAGGAAGAGATCAGACATGCTCTTAGGATTTATCACAAAGAACTTTCTCATCTCTCCCAAATCCTCCCTCTAGGTACTAGTGATCTTGCTCGGCTGGGATCATCTTCAGCCTTAGTGAACAGTGCTGTTTTGACACCTTTAACAAGTATCCATCATCCAATCAGCTTAGCAAGTTCTTACCCTCGGCAGGAAGTTCCCATTGATGCCACACTTCAGTCACGAAATATACAGAAAAGAGGCAGTTGTTCAGAAGTAGAAAGTGTACGTCATCATGGTAGTGCTTTCTCTTTGGTGCAACCAAAAACAGAAGCAGGAAACAGTCCTGCTCCTGTAACAATTTCTAATCATTGTAACTCTACCCTTCTCCCTCCAACCTCCATAATGTCGCTTACTGAAATGCCTAATTCTGGTGAGGATCTGTCCAGCTCGGCATCTCCTCTACAGCAGATGCAGTCCATCACAAACTCACTTCTTACTCAATCATCTCTGACAACTGTTTCAACCACTCCACAAAGACCCACAAAAGCAATTCTTCCACCAATTACACAACAGCAGTTTGACCTCTATAACAACCTAAACACTGAAGAGATTGTGAAAAATGTGAGCCATTTTTTCTTTTAATAGAAAACTACATTAAAATGTATTAAATTATATTGCTTCACTTTCCATACTAAAGTAAGAAGGTGTATTTATTATCCCTAAAACATCCTTATAAAAAAATAAATCTTGTAATATAAAAATGTATGAACAGACATAAATTTGGCTCAAAACTGTTGTAAGTATCAACTTAAATTACAATAAGAATGATTTCAATTCAGAGCATTATTTTAAAATAAAGTTTAACTTTCATATTTTAAAGTTTATTTTAAATATTTCTATTAACCAATTTAACTTAATATTAATTTTGAATATACTTTACAGGTGAAAGAACAGTTAAGTCAGTATTCAATAAGTCAGAGATTGTTTGGTGAAAATGTCCTGGGGCTTTCACAAGGCTCAGTGTCTGATCTGCTAGCAAGACCTAAGCCCTGGCACATGCTCACACAGAAGGGCAGAGAACCATTCATTCGTATGAAAATATTCCTTGAAGATGAAAATGCAGTTCACAAGTTGGTAGCATCTCAGTACAAAATTCCTCCAGAAAAGTTAATGCGAACGATAGGCTTTGGTGGCCCCAGCAGCTCACCTGGTAAGGTTATTCAAGTTCTTGTCTCCCTTTAGGGATTTTTTTCATAGTTATTTCCTTTAGCATGAATTTTAAACCTGATTTAACAAGGAAATTATGGAAATGAATATATTACCACAATACAAATATGTAAAAAGTCATTCATTAAGGATGATTAAGCGACAGTAATGTTGTGACCTCAATCTTTAATCTGTTGACAATTATATGGTCAAATTAATGAATATAATTGAATAAATGGATTAAAATATACCTCTAACAAGAAGCATTGAATATTCTCAGTTTTATTCATAGCATTAAGGTTACACATGAGATTTAATAAAAAAAATTCTATTTATAAGAATTCGGCTAATTCAAAATTTATAACATTATAATTTGTTTTCTTAAAAAAATCAAAGAAAAAATATCATTTAATTTATGCCTCTTTTCTTGTATTCTTCTCAAGATTTTATTAGAAATTTTTAAATCTTGAATGTATATGTCTCTATCTTAGCAGCTTCTATGAAATTACCACAACCATCAACTGAACCAGCAATAGTACCCAATCAATTAGACAGAAGTCAAACCCCTCTAAACTCCAACTTTGCTCCACCTGCAGACTTGCAACAGTCTGCTACTTCCACTCCAGAATATCTAGCAAGTATTTCCAAAACAACTAGTGTCCTATCCTGCAATGTCTCCACAACTCAGAGCATGCCGATTAGCTCAAGAAAACTGCACCACAGTTCTCAGTCTATGATGTACTTGCACCCTACTGTGTATGAGATGGCAGCTTTAACCACTGATATTGATACTCAGGGCATCACTTCAAAAATAAAAGATACACTAATGGCTCAAAATATAGGTCAGAAGGTAAGACAATTTTGTTTCAGTATTCCAACAAAACTATTTCAATTATAAAAACCTTGTTCTTTAGAATTTCATGTCATCTATGTATATTTGCTAAAGTTGTTGAGTGTGTAAGTCAGTTATAGTTTAAAATACAGGTAAAACTGAGTTCAAAATTTTAATAAGAAGACAAGTTGAGAAAAAGTTTAGGCATTATTATAGTGGCCTTTTTCCGAACCTTATCTACTTCAGCCAACTTGTGTTGACCTTCTTTGAGTTGTTCCAAAATCTAAATTAGCAGTCAAAAACATAAACCTGGACAAAAGTTTCTGGAATTTGTATGAAATTCTCAATCTTGATTGAATAAAAAAAATGATTTTCTTCTTCTTCTTCTTCTTGTTTTTCAAGAATAATATAGGCAGTTTCTGTGGCTGTCAAAACCATCCAAAGCTGTACTACTGTTCTTCAGAGTACTGTTTTCTAGTTATTTCATTATTTTTAGAGAAGATAAATATTACCACGTTTTTTACAGTTATAACATACTCTGTAAGATCTATAATGAGACATAATATATAGCTTTGAGGTCTTCAATCTGCTGCAATAATTTGTGAATTGTTTAGTCAGATTGCTTCTTGTAATGTCCATTGTTCTATTTTACACAATAGCCTTCTCACTACCTGAATGGTATCTAGTCTATTCAAGATAATAGTGTTTCAGAAAATCACAGTAACAGATTTGAATAACTAACAATAAAAATGTAAAATTTAGTTAGGCTATGCATTCTTACTTTCATAATGATAAACATTTTTATTTAAATTTTTTTACAGATTTTTGGTGAAGTGGTGCTAGGTCTATCACAAGGATCTGTCAGTGAGTTGCTATCAAAACCAAAGCCATGGCATATGCTCAGTATTAAAGGTCGAGAGCCTTTCATCCGCATGCAGCTATGGTTAAATGATCCATTAAACATAGAAAGGCTACAAGTGATTAAGAATCAAAGAAGAGAAGGTATGAGAGTTTTTTAGTTAAAAAATATATTTAACGCAAACATCTAGCTGAGTAGGTAATTTAATAATTTAATTCAGGGTATATTAGTTTCAATTTTTCAACAACCAACAATATGTGTGTGGAATATAATATTATTTTCAACAAATCAACATTAAATCCCAATAACTTTCTTCATAAAATGAAATAGAAGTAGTAAGAAATACAACTTATATAATTTGAAATTAGGTGAACTGAGTAACTTAAATTCTAGAAAGAGTTATGAAACATTCAAGAAAAATGCTACTTATTTTAACACTTCATTCTTAATCTGTACATTATAGATTTTTCTAATATCAGGAATGAACTTGTTAACATTTCACTGTCACTGGTATAACAGTTATTTTAATATTTTCGTATTTCATCATTATTTAAAAATGTGCAAAACAAAAAATCCTCTACATGAGAAATTAATATGCTTTGTAAGTTTTAATATTATTTAAAAACGTTTACAACTCAGTTTTCTGTTTTTAAATAACATTGTATTAGGCTCAATTTTTTATTTCTCTTCAATTTTTTCTTTACCTTTTTCAGCAAATAAACGAAAAAGAAACAACATAGACACAGATGTACATCAGTCTCCTCATAATAACCACCTATTTAGCTATGATCTCCCTCCTCCTTCTCCTTATTTGTCTACCAAAAAACCAAGAATTTTATTTTCTGATGAGCAAAAAGAAGCACTTCGTTTAGCATTTACCTTGGATCCTTACCCAAGTACATCAACTTTAGAGTTTTTATCCAGTGAACTTGACCTACCAGTCCGAACAATAACCAACTGGTTTCATAATCATCGCATGCGTCTTAAGCAACAGCCTTTAATCACTCCTGATGACCATAGGTCTAATGACAGTGGAACACATATAATTTCTTCAGGGGCTAAAGACAATACAAATTTTGATCCTGTACAATTTCGGATGATGCTGGATCATCGACTTGCAGAATTGGCCCGAGACAAACGTAGTGGTAAAGTAAAGAAGATGTACTCCACCTATCAAAATACTTCACCACTCTCTGCTCAAAATGATGATTCTGGTACTTTAGACTTGAGTATGTCTAGTCAACATTTCCCTCGAAGAAGTAACAATACTTTTGGATTTCACTGTACTTCAGAAAGTGCTGGAACTGATGAGCACTCAAACAGTGAACAAAATGAAGACTCTAGTTATTCCCTTGAGCGAGGCTTATCAGAAAGCAGTGACAGAGAATCACTAGATGACCAACCCACCTCCCTGTCTCCGAACAGTGTATTTCAAGAGCAAGAAGACTTCAAACAGATGACAATAGCACCAGCTAGTAGCAGTAACAGGAGGAAACCGGCAATGCCACAGTGGGTGGACCCTGGTCTGGAGATATCCCCTGAAAGTGATCTATGCAGTGAGAATGAAGACAATGATGAGGAGGAATCACAAAATGTGAAAGATAAAGAGATAATAAATGGAGTCTGTGTTCTTCAAACTGGAAACCTTGGTCTTCATGTGCCTAAAGAGCATACAGTACGGATTGAGCCAACCCCAGTTCCAGATGGCCAGGTTTTAAACTACAGGGACAAAGAACATCTTAATAAGGATAAAGTGACTGATTTTTCCAGTGAAGAATTAATGATATCTGAAAAAGAGGAGTTTAAAAGAAGCATTAAAACTGATAGGAAGTATAACATTGAGAGGCTTGAGAGATGTTTAAAAGATCAAGTTGAAAATTGGGATGTTGATGAAGAAGAGAGGGAAGAACACAAAAATAATAGTAAAGCTAACTCCAAAGATGACCAGAAGAAAGAAGAGGGCTGGTAATTTTAACGAATTAATTTATTTTCACATAGAAATCAATATCAATGAGGACTTTTATTAGACCTTGTTAGGAAAACAAATGAAAGTGTATATCACACTGTGCAGCTGCTGTGTACTTTCTAAACCAGAATTACTTCAGACTTTTCTAAGTGTCTTGTGTTGAATACATTTTGGCTTGTGAGTTGCCTTAAATATAACCCTGAAGTAATGAACTTTAAGCTTAGTTAGATAAGAATCAGGGTTATGGTTGAGAAGTGTGGGCAGTGCTAAGGGATATGCAAGTACAATGTGATAATGCCATAACAGCCTTCTTGTTGTATCCAGAGAAGGTTGCTAGATAAAGTGTAACATCCACTAAGTGGTACCCTAGAAGGATTAATCTCTATTTGTTTTCATTCAAATGATTATCAAACAAACATATTTACTGTTTGTGTGGCTGGTGCAAGTCATTTTTGAGTGTCATACTCTGTGAGGTTCTCATACTTTGCCAACTGACAAAAATTTAACTGTACATAGCTCAACTGATTGCTGCAGGTAGATGGTAAAACATGTTTTGTTGGTTTAATACTTATATTTTTCAACTCAAGATTGTATAGATACAGAAGTCTGCATATGATTTAATACTTTATATTAGTACACTAAACACTGTCATGTTTTTTTTTTATAATTTAGCAGTGTTTTTATAGGAAGAGGTTGAAGAAACATAAGCTTATTTTGTGTTTTAAAAGATTTCAAAACATTTTCTATTTTCTTAACAAATGCTTTCTAAAAAAATCGGTGACATGTTATTTCATCTTGACTAGGAAAGCATTGTAAATACATTAAAATATAATTACAATTCTGTGCAGTATTCATATTTGTTAAAAGTCTAGTCTAAGAAACAGGCTTAAACCTGTTCTAGTAGTTGTGTTATCTTGTATATTAGCAATAACACATTTTGTGCAGGTTTATCAAAATTTTTGAGTTAAACAACCTATAGTTCCAATAGAATTAATTTTCTTCATCATTTATAGAACCATGAGATATCTTGATGTGCATGAAACTTAAAAAATGTTTCTGTCATTACAACAGCTGCAAATTACAAAATCTTTTATTGAAAATACATCCACTGATTCAACATATTGAAGTACACATTATAAAACACAAAGCTTATATTTGTTGCACTTGTCCTTAGTTTAAATCACATTGTTTAACTGAGAAATAAATGTGAGAAACACTTACAAATTTAAATAATTCTAATCCCTTTCTTCCAAAGCTTATGTGCAGAAGGAAACAACATACTTAAGGATGTACTATTCTAGATATTGGTTACTTTTCCTTAAATTTATATCTAAAAAAAATGAAAAAAGGTTTATCTCAGATATCTATTTAAACCAAACAATGACTTGAGTAATTTGCAAATTGGATTTCTTTCATTTTTTTATGGTTGTGTAAAATGTAAAATTTAAACGACTAACAGGTCTAACAGAGAAGGTTGTGATGAAAACAATCTGACTTTAAAGAACTGTGAACAACTAAAAGTTACACCATTCTGTATTCTAGCCTTAAAGACATTCGAAACTTTGTTAGGTGGCAGTATCATTGATCTAACTTGCCTGATGAAACTAACATTGCTCAAAACTGTAGTTCTTAGCTGGTCAGTGCATGTGATATAAGCCTGTTTTTTTATATTAACACTAAAGAGGGTTTGGTATATTATTTTACAATGATTTTAAGTTGAACCACATTGTTACACTCCATATCATCACATCTGGTCACACTCTATCTGACTATAGAATAGCAGCATAGTTTCCATTGCAAAATGCTCTGTCATTTCCATAACCCTCCTATTGTATAAATATGATAGTTTCAAAACCAGTGCCCTTTTCAACAATATGATTGCACAGAAATCTATTGGTGCTGCATCTGGAGACTTGACTAGTTCATCTTCTTATGGAATAGCATGAATACTTGTTTCATTCTTGAGCTGCTAGAATGAAAAATGACGGTTAAATGGGAGATATTATAGGAATCCTTATCTTGGTGAACCCATACCTTGATAACCTCATTTCCATACAAAACCAGTATTTCTGTATGGTGCAAAGGGTCCAGAAATTAGTCTAATAGCAAGAAGAGTTCACCTTGAGTTTTTTATCCACTCTCCAGATCCTTAACTTGCCTCTAACACACTACCCAGTGACGATCATGAATCCCATTTGGAATGTTTTTTCACCCATTGACCAGTACAAAATGGCATGAGGCTTGTTACCAAGGTACACATATGCTTTGTTGAGCATCACTATTTTCTGTCATTTTTTTGCAGATAGGTACAGTTCTTACAGTTTTCTATAGTTGTTCCTCCTTTCCTGAATATATCATGGAAGTAATTTATGCACATGTGACTATTGTAGATTTTACAGAAAAAGGCCCTTGAATATGTTGCATACTTTTTCCTCTTAACAATAATCTTTGTGTTCATGGATGATTACCTGTTACAAGGTGACAATACTTTGCTCACCACAGCTGGGGTATGATTTGTTGCAGGTCTCTTTCTGGATGGTTCTAGTGTCTCAAGTTGATCCATATTCCTTTGTTTTCCAATGCTGTTAAATGGCATACAAGGGATATCCTCATTTTGCAAATTCTAATTCCCCCATATGAACAGGTCTTCATGATCTGAGTGTATGAATATTTTGGATTGGAAAGGGTTGTTACATACCCTTCCCAAAAGCAATAAATTTTTGGAGGTATCACACTACCTGTGAAATGCCAAGTAATGTCAAAATGTAGTTCTGTTAAATGGTTCCATCATAACTTTATATTAGCTGTGGTTGTCTTGTGACTTGCTGATTTGCATATTCATAATTGTTTTACATAACATACTCAACCATTTGTATACACAAAAATATATACAACTATACTCACTCATCATATTTATAAACATACTAAAGATACATATATGTACATATCTACATATATTCCACAAGCTACATATGCAACATGTAGAAAAAGAATCTTTGAGACAAACTATAGCTGACTACCCTCAGTGTTAATTAACAGTGTTTTCAGACATTTACAAAAATTTTCTTTTGGTTTCACATTATTGAAGATGGCCAAAGGAAAATTGCCTTTATTTTGTTGTACTGAGATAGTGTTACTGTGTAGTGACAGTACTTTAACCCATTCACTGTGGCTGGGACATTTATTTCCCAGTGCGCTGGGAAATATATGTCCCAGCCACAGTGAAATGGTTAGGAGAAGGTTGTTTTGTTATGCAATAAAGCACCGTCCTTCTTCCATGTTCCCCCAACGTCATTCAATCAGTTGATTTCTTGATCTTCACTATGGTTTTTAAGCATTATTATCATGCATTGTTTTTTCTAGCTGTTTGAAGAGTTCTTAACCAAGCCCCAGCAGTATCATATTTCACAATATAGTAGATCACTATACTATCAATCTGGAATAGAATATTTTGTTTCTTAATTGTTAAGCAAAAAACTATACAATGGATTATCTGTATTCTACCAAACATGTATCAAAACTAGATTTTTAGTGTTATAAGCCCTCAGACATACCACCGAACCACCAGGAGACAGGAATAGAAAAGAAACAAATTGACACTAGCATTTGGTATATGGCTTTTAAACATATTGTTCGTGTGTAGAACTTTTTAAAAGTTTTTGGGCAAAAACGAAAAACACCTGCATAATACTTATTACTAAGACAATAGACTACACTATAAATCACACACACATTCCTTACAGTTTGAATGTAAATTATTTTCTGTTCAGAACAATTTTTAAACTTATTATAGAGAAGCATAATTTATAAAACATATCAAGTAATAGGTGTGTATATTTAAGTTCAAAAAATAACTTATTATAACCATTAAAATAGAATTTCAAACTTTGCTAACTTCAAACATTTTTGTGTTTATGTTGTTTTTGTTTTTTTTCAAAAACACTCAGTCTTTCAGGTTACAGCTTCATAAAACAGAATCTCAAGCTAAGATGTTTTTGTATGAACTCATCTGTTATAATTATTTAGAACACCTGTTTGTAATTCACTGATATCATGAGTATATTAAAAATTTGTTAAATTTGAAATACTGAGAGTTGTTACCTTAGATTTTGCTGTTTTGATTATTTGCTATTGTTACTTTGACTTGACTTTTAAGTTAAAACACTTAACCACTTCATAAATGAATCAGGTATATCAGTGATGTGTCACTTGCATGTTTTTATTTCATGTTTTGTAAAGAAAAAAGAGAGAGAGAAAGATAAATAAAACATAATTATGATTTGATAGTATTAAATTAAGCATAAACCCTTGTCCAACATTTTACATATGTTAAAAAAAAAATGGAAAGAGACTGTATGGGGGTAAATCAGCATGTTAACCCTAGTTAAATGTACAATAATTGTTCATCTATAATATTATTCATTGCATAAGATATTCATTAAGATATAATATCTTTGATAGACAGATGTATTTTGAGTTTTCACTTTAAGTTTTACAATACAAGTGTAATAGGACAACCCTGATTACTACTTACTGAATATTTTACATACTGTCTTTATTTATTCTGCTGTGAAATTTGCTGTAATTGGTATTATCAAGGTGATCATTAGAAATATCAGCAAACTGGCAATTAACCCTGCAAATTATGAAAGGTTTTTCTTGAAGAGAGTTTTGATAGGATAAAATCCCATGGTGCTTGACTGTGTATGTTCAATTACTAGGATTAAATTATTTTTTCTTCCCATTTTTGTTACTATTACCTTACACTCATGTGATACTAAATGGACTCAATGATTGCTGCTTTTCTGTAATAGGCTTGAAAAACTGTTGACATCACTATTAAGAGTCAATCAAATACCTTGTATAACTCTAGTGTCCTGTTTCATTTTGACAGCCGTATTATATGCAAAAACTGGAAGTGAAACTAGGGCTTGCCAAGAGGACGTTTTGACTACTTACCAGTTTTTTGCAGCATATTATATCACTTAGATTTATAAATTTGTATGGCATACAACCTTGTCGGTTTGTTTGTTTTTTGTGGTTGATTTTATGTTATCAAATACTAACTTCTTGTGACACTTGAAATCATCTTATGATATAATGTCACCAGATATTTTGTTGTGACACAATTTCATCATATATTATGTTTTAGTGGCTCGGTGCTAACAGGTATTTTCATTTAACATTTGATGTCACCAGGTATTATATTCTTGTGACACATTTTGTCATGTATGTATTACCTTTTTATGGTTCCTTACCAACAGATATTATTTTAGTTTCTCTCAGAAATGTAATCATGTACTCTTCACTTGTGACATGTGTCTTCAGGTATTACCTTGAGACACACGATGTCACCAAGTATATCTTTGTATTAAACCCAACATAACTGAAATTGTGTATGACATTGATGTGGAGAAAATATTTTAAATTCTAATTTCATAAGAATTCTGAAGTATTTGAAAGCATCCTCACAGAAGTGACATTATATTTTAGCAATCAATTTATTCTGTTCTTAACTCATTAGTAGTTAGTGATGTTGCTTGCATAATGTTCTACTTATAGAAATATTTTTAGGCCCAATGAATATCAAATGTTTGAGTAAAAGATTGTGAGTCAAGAAAGCTCATATTCCTGAAGATCTTAAGAATTTGCTTGCAACATCTGGTTAGACATAGTTTTATTAAATAAGCTCCATCCATTGTCAAGATACTGAAACTATTAGTACCATTTGAAGTTAGTATTTACATTAGTTTCAAAGACAAATTGTTACTTGAAGAAGGATGTTAGGTACACATTTATTGAATAAAAAAGTGATTTTTAACATACTAGTGCAATGACGAAAGGAAAGTGGTTTGTCAAGTTATTCTCGCTTAACTGTATTTCATAGTACTTTGTGATAAACTTTGTTTCGTAGCTGATCAATTTCTTCTGATGTGATATTATAAATGTTTTGTCAACTGCCATTCATTTTATGACAGTTGTTGCCTTTTCAACCACACCTATAAAGTTTAGTGAATTTGTGCATATGTATATATAAACTGCATGTGTGTGTGGTTCACTCTTCAAGCTTTTCCATCTTGCATGAAAATTTTAAAATTCTCTCAACTTCCTCTTACACTAGCTGACATGTTGTTTCTGTAGCTTCAAAAAAAAAAAAAAAACTGGCCATTTTATGGGCTATTTTTATCAGTCATGATTTTTTTTTCTCAGTTGTTTGTCTTAAAAGCTTGCCCTGAAAATCAATGGCTGTACGTTTGATATTAATATTCATATTGATATTTTTATTCCACTTTAAGAAAATAAAGCTGGACATTCTCCAAAAATGTTTGTTCGCTAATTCTTATTTCCTTATAAAAAAATCATTCATGTAAACTGTTTATAATATAATTCCTAATACTTGCCTGTAGCTTGGATATTGCTTATAAGAAACACCAGAAACATACACAATATATTCACATCCAGTCTTTTAAATATGTCAAATAATATACCCAATCTTATAAATATATCAAACAGTATACTCAAAAAATATATCCATATCCAATCTTATAAATATTACAAACAATATACCCAACATTAAATCATATACTTATGCACTTACTGGCAATTCCTTGCAGTTGAAGATGATAGACTAAATTAAAAATCAGCAATACATTTTTTCTATTATTTTTAACATAGCGAGGTAGTTTTTTTTTAAATCAATAATATATCAGCATACTTTAAAATCCATAAAAACAATTAAAATAAAAATACATAGTAAAATGGCTGGAAAAGCTCCATCTAAGTTAACTTAGATACTGGCAAGCAACAGCTAATAGTATGGGTCCAAAGGTCAATAAGTAACAAAAATTAAATTGCCTTCAAAGAACATTTTAGTTATTAGTGAGTGAGATAGTTTTATGTTTGCAATTATAATAAATGTTTGAAAATTCACAGAAATCTCGAATTATAAAATAAATTTAGACACAGAAGCCATTATACTATGTTAAAATGAAAAGCAGTACTGCTACATATGACTGAATATCAGAGAAAAATAATCCAGCACCTGGAAGAAGTCATGTCCAGCATGACTGCTTTCACTAGACTCTAACATGAGAAAGGACAGATAAACAATCTATAAAACGTTAGATGATACTATTTCAATGGTGAAAATATAAATTTGGCATTTTCAACACGAATGGCCAGTCAAAAATATCAAGGTTCAGGTATAATCATCCTATATTTAGAAAGATGACCCAAAGAAAGGCAATCAATCAATCAGTAGTACCCATCATCTACACAGCTGCTCCTAACAATATAGTGAGATGGACTGTCTCTTTCATTACATATCCACAGCTGAAAATTCAGAGCATGTTCAGCAGCATATCTTGGGTTCAAACCTTGGATCTTCTAATCCCCAGTTCAGCATACTAACGCCTAAACTGTACCAGGCCCTAAAAAAATTACAATATATGTAAAAACTGAAGATGATATACTACTTAAATACTAATTACAATATAATGGATAAATATTTTATTTTTGAATGCATGTCATGAATATTGTAATACACTTAAACTGATATTTTGATACTCATGAATCACAACTTTGGAAAAAAGGAGCATACAATTCTACGAATAATCTATAATTCAGCAAGAATGTTTGTTGCTCTTCATTTTTAATGTGAAAGGTATAGTATCACTATCAAAGGTAAGCACTTCTCCAATATTTGATTGTAGACACTTCAAGAGAAGGCTTAGTAGATCAGAAAAATACTATAGTAAACAATATAATATTGTTACGTCTCTGGTCATTAGTTAATTTTCCGTAAAAATTATTTCCGAAGAAACTTTAGCGATACAATTCCTTTCTTAAATAAAACTGGTTTATTCTTTCTGAATACAACTTTGTAATACACTTAATTTCCACAGTCGCGCTATAACAAACTCTGTAATTCACAACGAACGTCTCACGTGTTCGACTCAACTGTCAATTGCACCGTTGTTGTTTTCACTTCTTGGCGGCTTATATATACAAGACTACCGCACATCTAATAGCCTCTCGAGACGTGGAAGAGACGTGAACGTTCGAGAATATGACGTGTTACTAGTGTCACGTGACCTCCGCTGTCTTAACAATATCAAAACCACATAAGAACTGCCGTAGCTATTTACATGCAAGTAAACTTGCACAAAACGTGTTTAGTTGAGAGTTTACTCTTCTTCCATAATCCAAGTTTTGTATTGTTTATATATTTCTGTAATAATACTAGGAAGTAGTTGTAGAACAACCTATTCTAATTCTACGTTGTGTTGTGAATGTTCGAAAGTACTCTTTAAGTTTGAAATATCAACAAAATATTGTTACATCTCCGTTCGTTAATTAATTTTCGTAACTTCGTTCCAACGAAACTTTAGCGACACAAGTCCTTTCTTAAATAAAACTGGTTTATTCTTTCCGAATACAACTTTACCGATACACTTAATTTCAACAGACACTCTATAACAAACGCTAGAACGTCTCTCTTGCTCCACAATATTCAATTACACACTCTCTGACTGCAGTTCAATTACTCATTACCTACACATTCCCCCTTCACGTTGTGACCGTCTTATATATATATACAAGACTAACACTATATCTAGTAATCTCCCGACAATTCACGAAGGTTCGAGAGAACGAGTGGCGTGATACTAGTCACGTGACCTCGCTGACGCAACACTGCCCCTCCTTAGCATTGTTCGTCCCAAACAATAGCCACTTACAATAAACCAATAACAATTAACAATAGCTTAATTAAATGTACAGAATTACAAACACAAAATTACAATTCAACAAAGTCTCTTAATTTTACGGGACGTATCTTCTTCCGTACTGGTCTCCATCTCGTTGGCTTCTGCTTCACGTGGGGTTCATCTGCTTCATCAGGAAATGTCCTATCATCGGTAACAGGCACATCAGTGGTAGTAACTTCATCAAGAGCTTCATCGTTTCCTGAGTAGAGTTTCTTCTTTGACGTCGGCTTTTTCAGGTGATACTTCTTCAGCAGCGTCATTTGTTCCTTTGCTCACTTCATCCCAACTGAAATGTCCTGGACCGTGATAACGCCAAAGCCTGTTGGCATGTACCACTTTTGGCTTACCTCGCCGACCACATTTTATCCGGAAAGTCACGTCTGAGAGATGATCCATTATGCCATATGGGCCTTCTCATAGAGAAGACAACTTAGGATACTTCCCTTTGGTCTTCCTGGGATTATACAACCACACCTTGTCTCCTGGTTCAAAGCTGATTTCAGTAGATCTCTTATCATAAGATAGCTTCATCGAATCAGCAGACGTTTTCAAGTTTGAACGCACTTGATGCTAAATATCATCCATCCTTTCCGATAACACTTTCACAAACTCTGACACATTCTCAGGCAACTCTTCATAAAGTGGGCATCCCTTATGCTTGGGTCCCCTTTTAGCACTACATGTATTGCATGTCAGGCACCATTCTTCCACATCTCGCCTCATACCTATCCAGTAAAATCTGTGTCGTAGGTGACTCAATGTTTTCTTAATTCCGAGATGTCCTCCTGCTAAATTATCATGGGATTGATACAGCACAACTTCCCGTAACTTCCTCGGTAAAACTGTTTGCCAAGTTGTCAGTTTCCCATCTGTAGTTACCCATCACCTGTAAAAGCCCACGTCGAAGAAGAAACTCTACTCAGTTTTGAGAAGGGAAACGATGAAGCTCTTGATGAAGTTACTACCACTGATGTGACTGTTACCGATGATAGGACATCTCCTGATGAAGCAGAT